TTCTTCAGTGAGTGAGAGCGTTACGAAATCGAAACAAATATTGACAATAAAAAAGGTTTTTGTGCAATTTAGTGAGAAACTTACTTTTTATGTTTGTTATTCGTCAAACTACGACACAGTGCTAGTGTTTAACGTAGTTTATTCAGTCTATTTTTCACCAACTCTGAAAGTCATCTGCTGTCCTCAAAATAAAGCATTTAGACCAAATATAGATATACAGTTATCTAATGGTTGTTTTAACCACATGTGTATGTATATCAGGTTCACATGTGGCTCTAGAAACTACTTAACGTGCCATTTTAAAAGCTATCCTTCCTCATCTCATTAGAAAAAGAAACCACAAGTATCACAAAATTCACTATAAAATAACATTCCGGCTAATTTTATTTAATTAATGTAGTTCATTTTACCTTATTTTACCATAAAAACGACGTTGTATGTAAAACATACTTCATAAGTTCCAAGAGATACTTACCATATATAACTAGAGAGCAATGAGTACCAAGTCACGTGATTTCATTTCTTATAAACGTATTGAATTTAAAACCAACATAATTTAAATTTCTTAAGCTCGTTATCATTTTTCATTCTTGGAGTTGTTTGAACTTTAAAATTCAAGGTAAAGATTAGAAATCTGATTATACTATAGTTGTAGATACCAATAAACTAAACTATCTATCAATCCACTTTTTAGATTCATCCAGGATCGAACCCAGAACCACTCGCACGCTGACCGAATACTCTATCAACTTTAGTTAAATTATGACTCATGCATTTTTAAAAACAAAACTCCACCAGAGGTATAAGAACCACTGGAAATATATCATTACACGTCAACTTCCGAACGTTGGATTCCTACAGTTAGTCAAAAGGGCATATATCAACTTCCTGGTGATCTTCCCTGTTTACAAACAGTATAGTGATGTCTGATTTTTAACTTCTGCCGTGGACTATTTGGTGTTTGATCTGTACTTGTAATCTAGAGTTGTAATTTTGGACTGAAACATTAGGTGCAAGCAAATAACGAGAAAATTGGTTACTTAAACAAAAGTTTTAATGAATGAAAGTGTTCGTCCTTGGCTTCTATATATGGTACGAGTACTGGAGTGACAGCAAGCTGACTTGGGAACTGCCTGACTCACCACGAATAATCGGGACTCTTAAATACGCCAGGGACTCGAGGAGCAGACGACAATCGCAGAGTTACCTGAGCGCATGCGAGTAGTGCGCTCACTTAGTTTAAAAAGTTCGTAATTTAACTCAGCACATTAATAGCTATAATGGGTCTCAATATTTGTTTTGGTTTTCTTTCGGCCATAGTAGGAATTTCAATTATTGCTTCGAAGGCGATTGCTGCACCAATATCGTATTCTGATCTACAAGCAATGGTAAGAATTACAACTTTGTTGCCAATTTCTCTCTAAGAAACTTCAATGATAACACAGATTTACCATTATCTAAGGAAGTTTGCTCGTAATTGAGTTTTAAATTTAAAACTTTAGAACATAAGGTAGTACTTTCTCGCTGAAGCCCGCTTAGAATTTTTCTTATTTTTAACAACAGAGATATTATTTTTGCCAAATTTATCTTTGGATCCCTTCGCGCTACTCATTTTATATAGTTCCTTTAAAATATAAATTATCAAACCAACATCACACCATATTTCTTTCCTAAGCAAAGCGCAATTGAAACTTGGGAATACACGATGTTTTGTGTCAGATTTCATAGGAGATGAGATTATTTATTGAAATAGTGAGAAATACAATGTTTCTGTGAGAAAATGGTATAGTTACGTCATTATTTTGCTTGCTACGTTTTAATAATATAAGATACCGTTTCTCTTTCATTTAAACTTCACAATATAAGATTGTTAATAAAGCGTAATCAAACCTAAGCTTTCTGACTCGTTGATCACAACCCATCATTTATGCCTCTGATTATGGGCTGTAATCAGTTGGAAAATTTAGGTTTTTAATTTTTTATTCTTTTATCATTATCATTTTGTTGTTGGTAGTGTTTTTTGTTGGCGTAGAGCAACACAATGGGGTATGTGTGTTCTGTCCACTCCAAAAAAATGAATCCCGGATCTTAACAATGTAAGTTCTGAAACATACCGCTGACGTACGGGGGCGCCACTTCATTCCATTTGTGTTGTTGAAGCATACTTTTAGTTCTTTTATTTTTGCATAGTTTCCTTTCTTCGAGGTTAGTAAATTACGATAGATGTAGATGCAGGTCATATTCTCCACTGTATCATAATAGATCATTCACTTATAAGTTTTATTGGTTTCAAAAGGCTGTTAGCGTTTTCTTAGGGAATGAATCTTTACGTATAATAGTCTCTCAACTCTTTAGTGGACGTTTTTTTTTGTATGTGTGTAAACGAAACACTCAGGGGCTGCATATGCATATAAACGTATATCTTAGTATTCATAACTTTAGTTTCGAATATAAGATAAGGAGTAAAAATTGTCACCAATTTTATCACTTGGATAAATACACACACATTTACTTAGATACAGGAAAGGTTTATAACGAATACATAGTTCCAGATACATCATATGAATACCCTCATCTTGATTGTAGCATTAAATTAGAATCTAAGTTCTTTGGTAAAAAATGGGTTACTTAACATTCACTAACGTTTAAGGAAATGTCCTTTAGTTCTGGGGTAGTGAGAAGCTAAGAATTCATGGCTTTAGCGCTATGAAGTTATAGCGTGGGAGGGGGGAGCTAAATTCTAACCACTTTAGATGAATGTACTTCAGATCATATGTACATTTTTATACTTTAGATGAATGTACTTCAGACCATATGTACTTTTATACTTTAGATGAACGTACTTCAGACCATATGTACTTTTATACTTTAGATGAATGTACTTCGGACCATATGTACTTTTTATACTTTAGATGAATGTACTTCAGACCATATGTACTTTTTTATATATATTTATATACATATATTTTATATATTTTTTACATATTTAAAAATTACGTATACGAGTTATTTGGATTCAAAATTTGTAACAAATATTAACTTTTCTATTTAAAAGAATGCTTAGAAAGTTGTAGGCTGAAGCCCCCAGCCCTATACGTATTTTCGTCCCTGGAAATATATAATTAACACTACGATTATGAAAAAAAATTATCTTTGGTTACGTTTAAGTATAAGATATATGTATGTTAATATTCAAATAAATTTTAAAAGTTTGCAAAGTTACAAAAAACATGAGACTAACGTTTAAACAAAGGTTTTCATCAGTAATCAGCTCGACTGAAACGAAATGAAAATTTGAATTTCTTGTTTTATCTGTTCCTTAGATTTAGTTGTAGACTAGAAACAACGATGACCTGAATTTAACACGTAGACCCGAACGTTATTGATATAGGGCAAACTTGTTCTTATGTTTATGGTAAATTCGACGTGTTCTAGGTTACTTAAATTTATCCTTGGCCAATTGTTCATCGTTTATGTATGTTCAGTATCACAAGTCGAGATTTTTAAGTAGATTAAAGTTTGAGGACCACTCAACATAAACAAATTTCTTTCAGCTGATGGCGTTTAATTGTTTCAAGTTTGTATATAGCATCCGCTTAATGACTACACTAATGAGTAATTATAGGAATCAGTTACAACATTTATAAACATAAAAACACGAAATACGAGCAGAAAACGTTCAAAGAACATTAATGTTGGGAATCATTAAAACAACGAAGTTTTGTATAAATGTAGAACAGATGGAGCTTCGAGCAGCAGTCAAACATGCTTAAAGATGCACAGCTGAATTTTTGTTGAATAGAAAAACGTTTGTATCAGGTTGTTTATTTTTTATGCATTAGCGTCATGAAACTCTAGCATTAAATCCTGTTCTTAAATGACAGAAACTTTTGAAGTGATTGTACACACACACACACACACAAATTTTACTCGGAAACCAATTACAAAGGATCTAAAAACTATAGCAACCCTATATGTGCACTTTCACGTTTGTTCACCTTTACCCATGATAAACATCGCTCTCATCGCTTTCCGCAGTTATACGGTAGTTCCTGTGTGAATGTTCTGGTTAAACATGTTGGTTTAACTTCACTCTTTAGGGTTACCTGTATTCTCGATTACCTGCTCAGCTATGGTAGTCATGTATATAAAGACATACATATATATATAGAGAGAGATATATTGATATATTTACTTTATATCTGGCACATATATCACACCGTAGTCAACTCAATAACAGTTTAATATTGCACGTGCAATTTGGTGTACTAGAAGAGTAGAAGAGGTGGAGGAAGCACTAAAAAAGTTGGGGAGGCAACATTATATTTTAGTTTGTAATTGTAATATTCTTTCACTGGTGCAATATCAGCATATTTTAAAAGAAAACTTAACAAACAGTTTAAACTAGGTAATATGCCAGTCAATAAAATTTAGTTTTAAAAAATTCGTTCAAGAAATAAGATTTTCCTGGAGAGAAAACAACATAGGAAGTGATGTTTTTATTTGTCAACGTAGTACACAGTATACAAGAAATTTTAAACAAATAATGTACCAATATTCCATTTTTTTACGTCAATGGGAATAGTTTCTTAGGCAACACACCGACCGATGATTCAAGCCATGTTACACATTGAGGCCCTTGTATTTCTACCTTGGTAAACTTGGTACACACATGTACAGGCTAACACCACAAAGCTCTCCAGCTGACCTTCTCTGATCATGACCTTAGAAAAATGTAGTCACAATTTTTTTTTTCTTTCAATTAAACGTGGGAGATGAAAATCAATTATTCGTCTACATTTCTAATAAGTAGTACGGTTTTAATTAAGTTGTCTATATATATATATTTCTAAATCTGTGCAAAAAAGTAAATACACACACACACATATATATATGTAATAATAATTAATTTCTATCGGGATTCATTCATTTTTTAAACCATCAAAGCTGTATACGTTGTTTTAAATTAACATAGTTTCTTACAGTGTTACAGAGTTTTGAAAGTCACCCAAAGTTTTTTTTTAAACCTCTTTTTGTCGTGCATGCATATTATTTATCAAATGGAGTATAATTTTGAAGAAAGGGGATACCCCTAAAACTTTTAATGAGAAAGAGGATCGGGTAAGAAGTTCCCATTTTACAAGCTAGGGAAATTCCCCGTTGTACAACATCGAATGTTGTTTTCCCAATAATCTGATGGTAGGTAAATCTAAACTTAATAAAACTACTTGAAAGCCTCATATCTGCTAAGTTTCGTAAATATATTACTATCACCTACAAAATTGATTATAAATGTATGTAAGGGTTAGATTTGTAGTTGTACATTTAGTGCACGATGAAGCATCTAAAAGACTACACAATACTAATTTGATGTTACTTTTGAAGAACAAAACTACTTCTTTAAGTATTTGTGTATTTCTATCCAACACCTAACTGAATCACCTGACACGTACAGTGCAGTGTTGTTCTTTAAGTATTTGTGTATTTCTATCCAACACCTAACTGAAACACCTGACACGTACAGTGCAGTGTTGTTCTTTAAGTATTTGTGTATTTCTATCCAACACCTAACTGAAACATCTGACACGTGTTGTTGTTATTGTTTCTTCTAATGTAACTTTTAGGTTTTCATTTCTCAACAATTATATATTTCTAGAATTTATACGTATGAGAAAAAAAACAATAAATAAAACACTTTTTTTAGGAAGAGAATAGCCGTTACTTCTAGGAAGAGAATAGCCGTTACTTCTTTTCGTTGTTTTTTAGGAAGAGAATAGCCGTTACTTCTAGGAAGAGAATAGCCGTTACTTCTTTTCGTTGTTTTTTAGGAAGAGAATAGCTGTTACATCTAGGAAGAGAATAGCCGTTACTTCTTTTCGTTGCTCTTCCATACTAAAAATCCCACAATACTAGACGCCATGTGTTCGTCTTCTTTGCGAAACGTTTTTTCTTATTTCATAAGATACAGTAAGTTCGAATAATGATACAAAAATACAATAAAACAGTTAACATTTAATTCCTTCTGTAAAATATAAAATTGAAATATAATTGTAGGTCTCTAGCGGCTCAACTGTAAGCTTGAGGTCTTATAATGCTAAAAATCGGGATTTAGTACTCGCGGTGAGCACAGCGCAGATAACCCATTGTGTAGCTTGTTTTACAAGCTAATTGTTTGACTTACTCAGTGGAACTATCGTTCAGAAAAAGATTAATCTTTTAGGCATGTTGAAACATTTTTTAACGATTATGTTAGTGATTTCCAGGGATAGAGACATATTTACTATAAATTACCGTATGTTTGTTTCTCATCAACAAATGAATTCTGTATACCTTTAGAGCTCTTTTGGAACTAGCAAAGAATACAATTTCCAATTGCGTGGTTTTTGAAAACATTAAAAGTGTGTACTTGAAATGTTCAGCAGGATTTAATTGTATTTTTTCATGTTTAAAAAAAAAACGTATTTAATTAAATATACACCTGGACAAAAGTTAAGCACCCCC